TAAAGGAATGTGGACCTTAGGACTATGGATTAGAAAAGCAGTTGAATGCTTTAAGTGCTGCTTAACGGGCCATCCTAGCAGAAACACAGAAGACAGTGTTGCTGAAGAAGATTTGAATGTGGGGGCCTGGCTCAAGAGGCTTCAGAGAAGAAGAATATTAATATGTGGCCTAGAGATCATTCTTGTGTGTTTGGTGCATTTTTGTGCCTGCCTTTTGCCCTCATCTGAAGAATCTGCCTGAGGCTAAAGTGAAGAGTTTTAGATTAATTCTGTTGGCAGAGAAAATCTACAAACATCCTGGTACAGACTCTGACCTGTGGTTATTAATGGTAACTCCAATGAAGATTTACGATAAATGGAGTAAGCTGAGTAAGAAAAAAATATATGATGTAGAACATTTTGAGGAGAAAGGAGAACCAGGAAGTGGAATGGAGCTAAATAATCCCTGTGTTCAAGGAGATGAACAGATTAAGAAATAGAATAAAGGGAATGGTGACCTCAGGGCAAGACCCCACCCAGAAAAGTTTCCAACTTGTGAAAAGAAATTAAAGAAATGTTTAGAGCTGAGTGTGGTGGTACACATCTTTAATCCCAGCCCTGGGAAGGCAGAGGCTGGTGGGTCTCTGAGTTTGAGGCCAGCCTGTTCTACAGAGCAAATTCCAGAACACCCAAGTTCAGGACGTGAAGGGAAACTGGAAAACAGAAAGCTGATGGAGATGTAATGTACGAGGAGGTCATATTCCAGCTCCAGCAAGCAGCAGAACTTGGCAGCTTCAGCCACATGGCTCTGGCTTGAGTCAAGGATAGAAGAAAGGGGCTATGGAATCTCCCTTCATGACTAAGGAAAGCCACTGAGGCCAGGCATATGTCAGGTGTGTTCCCGAATGGAGGCCTAGAGAAGCCATTGTGTGAAGCTATGAAGGTGAAGCCTAGATTGCCTGGGAGACCCCAAGACGTTAGAGATGCCAGAGCCTTGGGATGCCTGCTGAACAGAGCTGCTAACAGAGAGTAGAACCAGCTCAAGAGAAAAATAATGTGTTACAGTCAACAAATCTGAAAGGAATTAGAGATCTATAGAGTGTTTGGACATCAGACATGGAGATGTAGCGTTTGGAGTTTTCCTAGCTGGTCTTGCTTTGGGCCAGTATTGCCTTGCTATGCTCCCTTCCCTATATTCTGGAACAATAATGTATATCCTGTGCCATTATATGTTGGAAGTATGTGATCTGTTTTTTTATTTTTATTTTATAAGGGATTACAGTTAGGAGATTGCATGAATCTCAGAAGAGACTTTGAATTTTTGATTTTAAAACATTGTTGAGACTGTGATAGACTATGGGGACTTTTGAAGTTGGACTGAATGCATTTTTGCATTATGATATTGTTACAAGTTTATGGGGGCAAGGGAATGAAATGTGGTCATTTAAATATAATTAGCCTCCATAAGCTCATGGAGTGGCACTATCAGGAGGTGTAACTTTGTTGTAGTAGGTATGGCCTTGTTGGAATAAATGTGTCACTGTGGGGGTGGCTCTGAGGTCTCAAGTCACACTCAGTGCCTCAGTTCACTTCCTGTTGCCTGCATAAGATGCAGAACTCCTCAGCTACCTCTCCAGCATCATGTCTGCCTGCACACCATCATGTCCCACCATGAGGATAATGGACTAAATCTCTGAACTGTAAATCACTCAGTTAAATGTCTTCTTTATAAGAGTTGCTGTGGTCATAGTGTCTCTTACAGCAATAGAAACCCTAAGACAGGGTCTGAGGAAGTGGTGACATCTTCAGAAGGTCTCACTGAGGAAGTGGGTTGCTTGGGACAGGCTTTCAGATATATAAGGCCCCATTTCCTAGCTCTCTGCTTCCTCATTCACCCACATAAAGTCACCAGCTGCCTCAGCTCCAGCTGCATCACCCATAATCTGTTCTTGCTGCCATCTTACCCCCATGCTTTCTTACCAGGATTGACTGTGCCTTCTCAAATCATAAACCAAAATAAATCCTTCCTACCTTAAGTTGCTTCTTTCAAGCATTTTATGTTTGACAAGAAAACTAATTAATTCAAATGCAAGTTCACCAGTTTACCCCATGGAGTCACCTCTCTTCCAGTCATGGCTTATCTGTGGAACCAGCTATAAACCATTAAGTGAAATCTCTCCAACCACTTTCCAGTGCTCACAGGTGACACCATTTGTTAATTATTAAAACATCTAAATATTCATGTCTATTGTGCAGTCCCACAGCTGTACTTTCAGATTTACTTTCATATCGGGAAAATCCTCACTTTTCTTTCCAGTTCACCAATTCTTTCTTCAGTTGTATCTAATCTGATGTCAATCCACTTCAGCAATTATTCCGTGCATTTCTAAAAGGTATATTTGTTTCTATTTTGTTTTTAATTCTTAATTGACACATCATGTTTTGCTACAATGATTTCATATTTTGTAACTTGGCATACCTGACAATTTTAGTAAGTTCTCAGGAACTTATGCTAGTGATTATTTTGTTTTCCTTTTGTCTCTGAAGATGATCATTATCAATGACTAGAGTGTACTGAAGGGCTTGCTTATGAGACCGCACTTGTTTGAACAAAATGAGATCTCTGAGAGCATTTCTCTGAATGAATTTATGTTAGCTTCTATTGGACACTGATGGCTACTCCCGACCTTCAGTCACATGAACCCACTTCTCAGGTTCAACACAGGGTGCTTTGAGTCTAGGGCCTGGCCTCCTGTTCTAAGCTTCAGTGTGTGACCTTTACAGGTTTTAGGATCCTACTTTCTGCTCTGTATTTGGGTTTGGGGAGGCTAGGGGAAGCATGTAGATGCCCTTGAACTTCTCGTGTGTTTAATAATGTATTTAAAAGCATGTTTAAGATTGGAATATATTACACCAGGAGGTTCTCTAGAGGATCAATTTGGGACAGCAGTCAGCATGGCTTCATTGACTCTGTCACATTATCTCATTTTTTCAATAGTCCTGAGATGAATAATTGTATTCCCAATTAACAGAAAGGAGGTTAAATAACTTAAATAACAAAACTAGTAAGCATAGAAGTACTAAACTCAGAAACAGGTCTATTGGAGGTGCTGGAGATTGGACCCAGGCATTGTACGTGGTAGGCAAGCACTGAGCTATACACCCAACTCCTGATACCCATGCTATTTACCACTATGTAACATTGCCTCTCATATAAGCACTGTGCATTCACAGCCTCCAAGGGGCATTTCTTTCTTACCTCTACTATGCTCAATTCTGGTTTTAGGTCTTGCTTTCTAATATCCTGCTACACTGTAGATATCAAACTGAATGGCTAACCCTTGGTGCTAATCATGAAACACTGCTGAGTTTGAAGAGAAGAGAAAAAAGAAGTCAGCAGAAGGGACAGAAGTTTCAGGAACACCATCTAAGACACGAGTCATAAACTTTAGAGAGACACTGCTTAGATCCTTCTAATCCCCAGTTACTGTCCTTAAAAGTCATAGTATGTGTTTGAAAAGTACAGACATAAAATGTTTGCTAGGAAGCTGGGAAAATGGCCTACGTGTAAAGCGCTTGCTCCCAAGTGTAAGGATCTGAGTTCAGATCCTCAGCACCACATAAAAGCCAGATGTAGCAGTGGGGACCTGTAACCCCAGCACTTGGGAGACAGAGGTGTGAGAATCCTGTGGCTTTGCTGGTCAGCCAGTCAACCCAGCTAATCAGCAAGCTCTAAATTTAGTTAGAAAATAAGAAAATATTTGTTTCAGAAAAATATTGTTTCAGAAAATAAGATGGAAAAGTAATTGAGAAATACACACCATGTCAACCTCTGGCCTCTATGTGTGTGTACACACACACATGAGAAAGGTAGAGAAGAAATAGAAAGAAAATATTTGTTGATGAATGAAGTCTGGTATTGCAAAAAACCTCCAGGCCACAAAAGGCCCCATTCATAACAGAGGAATCTTCTGAGTTGGGATGGGGCAAGAATATCTCTAAAAGAAACCAAAATGTGTTGTGCTTTATCTTGTTAGGGACAGACTCCTGGCAGGTCCCCATGCCTTATTTTATGTTGAATAATTAGGTGTCAGGGAGAGGATTCTATTCAGTGACATTGTAACACTTACTTGAATATAAAAGGCCATCTTTGTGCCAGAAGTTACCTTAATGTAATCTGACTGAGAACCTGGGCTTTCCCGTCAGGACAGGTTGCACCAAAAAACACTCTGAGATTTGACAATGTGCACATAAAGCATATAAGTAACATAAGAAACTGAAAATCTACAATTTAACTCCTGCCAAAAATACTAGATAACATGATAGCAATTAAGAAAATCATGATATTTTTTAATTATTTTGAAGGATACTTGAACAAACAAGTTTGAAATCCAGTGGGTCAGACTCACAGGTGTGTCCCGTACTCTCTCTCTCTTTCCAAACAGTCTTAATTCACCAGTGGGCTTCATCAGCGAGAGACTGGCCCCCAAATGCTCCCATAGTGGTTGTCAAGCATTCTGGAACTGATACTAAGACTTTTTTTATCTGCCCTCCAAAGTCTGATATGGTATAGTCAATCTATAATAGAGCATGCTCTTGTACATTCTGAAAACGTTGCTGTCTTGATGTGTGCATGTGGCAAATTGGTCTTTGCTTTGTCTTTGGTTTAATAAATCAGTTCACAGTTGCTGGCTGGAATGTCAGACCAGAGCCAGCACACTGGCTATGAGTAGTAATGAGTGGGCAGGAAGCAGTGCAGGGCTCTGAGCAAAACAATCGATCCCCCTGTCATTTACACTATCTCTAACAGAGAAAGCCAAACCCCGGAGGAAGCATGAAATACCAAGGACTCCCATAATCCTGCCGAGCTTATTTATGATTCCCTCCTCCTTCCTTCCTGCCTGTCCAGATGGCTTCCCCCTTTGTTTCCCAGGCTGAATGATGCCCACTCCCTTTGAGATGCTGATGACTTCACAAACCTTCCTCTTGAGTCCCCACAAAGAGAAACCATGAAGTCTTACCTCTGTCGAATTATGCTGGGATTAGCTGTCACCAACTGAGTTTTGGATCCGACATCCCTGGTGTACTCACTTGACAAAGGAGGGAGATTACATCTAGAAACGCAAGAAGGAACATTTCAAAACGACTCATGTACTTTTAAATCAAGTCGATTATAAGGACACAAATAGGAATGTTAATTCTGGTTCAATTCACAAATAACTGTTTTCAGCCCCGTTCCCTTTTCATAGGCATTAGATGACTAATGAACCATTAGCATCATCAAAGTGCTGGGGGGCTTGTTTTTTATGTTTCTTGTTGTTGTTTTTGTTGTTTGTTTTTGTTTGTTTGGGGTGTGTGTGTGTGTGTGTGTGTGTGTGTGTGTGTGTGTTGTTGTTAGAAGAAAATGTCAGGGACAGAAGTAGATGATCTACCAAAGAAGAGATGATAACTACAGTGTATCTGTTTTGCTGAAAATATATTTGAAGTATGGTGTCATACACCTGTAATCCCATACTTGGGAAGTAGAGAATACAGAATCCAAAGCAGCCTTGGTTACACAGTGAGTTTAAGTCAGCCTGGGCCACATGAAACCTTGTGTCAAAAGTAAACATAAGAATGAATGAATGAATAAATAAATAAATAAATAAATAAATAAATAAATAAATAAATAGGGGCTTGAGAGATGGATCAGCCATTAAAAGCATTTAGTGCTCTTGCAGAGAACCCAGGACTCAGCACCCACATGGCAGCTCACAACTGTCTGTAATCTGATTCCAGGAGACCTGATAGCCTCTTCTAGGTTTTGCTGGAACCTACACACATGTGATGCATACACACTCACACTTCATAAATAATGAGAAAAGAAAAAACATTTGAAGTGGTAGAACAGAGCACTTTAAACTTGAAATGAGGGCTCAGAAGGTAGAGGGCAGATGCCCCTCCCCACACCCTCTGCCTACATATAAACACTGATGAATTATGCTATTTTTTCATGTTTTTCATTTTCCAAAAATTTACATTGCAGCAGCACTTTCTGGGTCACGTACTATTCAGCTAACCTAATGCGTGAGTGGTTTTTGTACATGTGGCCAAGGTGTAGGTGATTAAAGTGATGACAGAGAGCACTGTCACCCACAACACTGTGGTGTTCTCTACCCAGAAAACTGTGCTGCTCCGTCAAGGGTAAAAGTGGTGTGTGTGTGGTGGGGAGATAGTATGCTCTGTGCACGCAGGTGGAGACCAGAAGTCAACATTAAGTGTCCTCCTCAATCACTGTCCACCTTATTTTTTGAGACAAGGTCTCTCACTGAACCTGGACCTCACTGACGTGGCTGCATTAGCTGGCCAATGAGCTCCAGGATCCTCCTGTCTGTTTCCATGGCACTGAGATTATAGGCACCTGCCACCATGCCCAGCTTTCGCTTTTCCCATGGGGGTGGGGGTTGGGGGGTGGAACTCACACCCTCAAGCTTGTGTGGCTAGGACTTTACCAACTAAGCCATCTTCCCAGCCTAAAAAGTGATGTTCTTCATGAGAGAGAGCAATCACCCCACTCCTACCCCCAAACTCCACCCCTGCCCTAACCGCTTCCTTTGGTAATGATGGCTTAGGAATGCATAGAGTGGGAAACACGCCTGTCTCACATCCAAACCTGTGGTGTCAGGAGGTTCATGCATTCCCCTGCCCACAGTTCCTCCGTGACCTGGAACTAGGATAACAACGCTGCCTGCCTTCCTGGGCCATGGGAAGGATGGAGAGCACGCTGCTAAAACTCTCTGTTTTGATGTTTCACACAGCCACAACTATCCTGTCAGAAAGACCACAGAAATCTGATCATGCATTTGCATTATAAGTTGAATCTTTCCTCTCCAACCACATGTCAGACTTGACTCCTACCACATCAGGGCATGTCCAACTTGCATGACTTATTTATAGACAAAGATGTGGTCTCTGTGAGCTGCTAAATCGTCCCTGCCCGTGTGCCCCGGAGATGAAACTGCCTGTGCAGCTATCAGCTGACCTGCTCCCGTCTCCAGCTTCTCTTCCTTATGAGCCCCGTGACTCCCAACACACCAGGCCATCCAGGCAGAAACATCTCCATGTTGATTAAAAATCTCCCTTTCATCTGCTTGTGGGTAATTAAAAAAAAAAAAAAAAGCAAAACAAAACTGGGTTTTCTGGTAGCCACACAGGTCAGTCAGCCAGCCAGCTGGTGACTTGTTGAATATTCACTGAAAGCAAACAGGGGGGTGGGGGGGCACTGTGGAACACCGTGGAGGAGCTGGTCACAAAGCCCATGCTTAAGGCATCCACAAGCTCATGGTGACACCATACCCCATGTGGCTTCCTGAGGAGTCTTGCAGAAGAGTGGACTCAGTCATCAATAACCAGGCCCCATCATGCGGTAGTATGGATCAGATTGTGATTGCACTATTTAACTGTTCTTTGCAAAGACAAGAGATGGCTTCTCAAATAAAACACAGGCTAAAATTTGGACATGCCTCTTAAGGATGCTTTGATCTGGACTGCCCTTGTGAACATCTGAGAATCAACTGTAGGTTCTAAGTTTTGCTAGGGAGTCCTTGTGATGTGTCTTGTCAATAACAAAATAGTTTTCATATACAATCTTTTGCTTTCTTCTGTGTTCCATGATTCATATGCCTGGATCCATTTATATCTTTTACCATGGAGTGAAACCTCAAAAAAAAAATTCTGTCAATAAATAATAAATTTAAAAAACCCAAACAACAATAAAATTTGCAGAATTGGTTTCTCCTGTTAAAAGAGGGGTGCTGATAGCAAGACAGACTTTCCATGTGGCTTTCTGAAAACGGATGACAGTGCATATCGGTGAAATGTCCACCTTCTGTTCTGTAGACATTCTCTCCCAGCACAAATAACAGGGCCTTTCCCTGTATCTCTTTCCTCAGGAAAAGAGCACTATGAGTTTAGCTCCTCAATTCCTAAATTGACAATTACATAGGTTTACATAAAAGGCCCATTTAATACAGTCAAATTGTTTCTAATAAGGCATAATTGGATAAAGTGTCCCAAATTCCACATTATTGCTTGTTGTCACAATTGAGAAAACATTAGTTGCTTAAAGTATCTCCATAATGGTAATGCTTGTGATCCTGAAAGAGATCCAGGAACAGAAGAGTAAAATGAATGAGGAATGGGCATGCTGGATACGACACTCAACAAAGGAAAAACACTCTGTGTGTGTGTGTGTGTGTGTGTGTGTGTGTGTGTGTGTGTGTGTGTGTGTGTGTGAAAGCACGCAGAACAGTCTTCTGCACACAATCCAAAAGGCTTCAAAACTGTTGCCATACTGTGACTGTGAGCCACACATTCTGTCTTCAATGTATAATCATTAATACTTCTGCCTTGAAATGTTCTAGAGAAATTGAATCCAAGAATTTGTTGTTATTGTTCTGAGACAGGGTCTCCTGTAGCCCAGGAATACCTCAAATTCCCTATGTAGCCAAGGATGATCCTAAACTTCTGATCCACCTCCCAAGTGCTGGGATTAGAGGTGTGTCCTACCACATCCAGTTTTATCTAAGTACCCTACCCACTGAGCCACACAACCATTCCCACAAAATTATTTTTAAAGTGCCACTTTTGGTTAAAGAATAAATGTGCATTTTGAAAAATGGGAAATTGGTTTTTAACATTTTGAAGAATATGTCTAGAAAATGTCTGTGCAAAGAACACCATGGAATGCTTGAAGGAGAGGCCTGGAGGATATTCTCAACTGTAATCTGGGTACACTGTATAGGCAAGTCTGTGTGGAGACCCTCTTCCCCCACTTCATTTACCCATACCGCAGCTTTCCAATCTCCCAGGCACTCAATAGTCCTGACCTTGTATAGTATCCACAGCAGATTGTGTAAAAGGCCAACCTATTCATGTCAATTTGGGGTAAATGGGGCACCATGAGATAATCCCCTATGGTGCGTAGGCCAGCTCTTCTCCATGTTAAGTTGAAAATACTCATCTTCCTAATGGTAGCCACACACACACACACACACACACACACACACACACACACACACACACGTTGGGAGCAATAGAATCTGCTGTTGCTAAACAGCTTGGCTCCCCCTTGGGCTGCAGGGTAGCTGAGAGCAGGAGGAGGGACGGGCATCTCTGTCCTCATCTTGTGCTGCACTTGGGATGCTACAGCAGAATGTCACTGTTCTTAGCCCCTCTCTTGAGTCACCTTAAATTCCAGGCAAATAAAAACCTCATAGGACAGGCCTGCCACCCCAGATGAGGACGGTTATCCATGAGGGCAAGTGTGCACCCTCAGGACGAACAGGTTTGGACTAGCTTGTAGGCCAGGATGAGAGCTGTAACGATGATGGGTCGGTGATGGGTAGAATTAGGGGACTACTTAATTACGCACAGCCTGCTGGAGCTGCTGAACCAAGCTCTGGCCTTAAAGCCTCTTCTAACATTTCCTCACTGAATGTGCTTCAGAGCAACTTGAAGGTTTGAAAAGGATGTAAACAGGACAATGACACAGTATTCACAGATGTATAAAATCAGGGTTGACCGAGGGATGTCTCCTTCCCCTTCCTCCAACAGCCTAGGCAGAGGTAAAATGATACTAGGTAGGGCACCAACCTGGTTAACCATGAGGCTGGCATGTCCTCCCAACCTTGTTCTTTAATAGCTTCTCAGCCTCATGTAATAACCCAGGGACTGGAGTGGGTGCTGACATCACCGTGGTTCCCTGCTACCTTCCTCTGCCCCAGCCTTCTGTGAGACTTTATCCACTCCTGTGACGTAAATATGGCTCCTACATCTTCTCCCATGTTTTGTGACACCCAAGCAGCACTCACTGGAGCTGTAGAGAAGGTTGCTCCATGAAACCTTGCTCTGTGTTAGCGTTTATTGAACCTTGTTCCTCAGCCTGCGGCGGGGACCATGCCTCTCCTGAAACAAGTGCAGCACTTGCTGTCTTAAAACCTCCTCTACTCCTCCCCATTATTTGTGTACATTGCAAAAATAACGTGAAATCAACTAAATAGCAGTGGAGAAGAAAACACAACCCTACCGTGGGAAATTACAGTACTCCCGAAGGAAAGGCAGGAAGGGAAGGACACCCCCGCCCCCACACCTACACCCCACAACCCACTGCCACAAGTGTCACCAAGTGAGACGCCATGTCTTGATGGCGAAGCAACTCTCCTCTGAGAGGGTATGTGGCATTCTCTAGGAAAATGGCTCCCCCTGAAACACTCTCACACAGCTCCGAGCTCCAAGTTGGATTAGACTTCTCAGAGCCCCAGCCCCACCCCCACCCTACATGTGCACCCATGGTGTGTGTGTGTGTGTGTGTGTGTGTGTGTGTGTGTGTGTGTGTGTCCATGCATGTAGAGGCTTGCGGTCTGCAACAGTGCCTTCCTCAGTCACTCTCCCTCTTATATTTTGAGCCAGGGTCTCCCACTTGAGATCTCTCACCTGAAGAGATCAATTCAGCTAGACTGGCTGCTCTACAGACACAAGGCATCCTCCAGTCTCCACCTCCCTACCTCTGGAATTATGAACACATTTGGCCTTTTAGGTAGATACCAGGATTTAAACTTAGGTCCTTTCTGGTTAGAGGATCCTTGGGTTCCTGGTTCATAGTCATTTCTATGTCCTTGAAATTTTGGGGTTCATCTGAAAGATTCCCCCCGGCCTTTCAATGTTCTTTTGTTTCCTCAATGAGACATGTTTTCCTTTTTCCACACTATGTCTCAGAGAAGCTGAGCTCGCACTCCAGGGGCCATGCTTAGCCTTGAACTCATTAATTATTCTACATTTCCCTCACCGCCCCCCCACACACACACACTCCATAACCCCGCCCTGAACGGCCCTGTCGCTTGGCCCGTTCGTTCCTCTACTCCATCACACCTCTCATTGCCGAGCCCACTCCTTATCCTGACCTGGCTTCGGGATGTGTCACCTCACGTGATTTCTATCTAGAGCCCTCGCTCCTGACACTCCACCTTCCCTCCTTCTTAGCCAGACACCGTCTGTCCATCTGCGCCAAGACAGCCACGTGCAGTCTGCGCTCTCCACATGTCTCCTTAGCAGGGTTTGCTCAGACTCGCCCAGCACTGGCTGGCGGTCTGCAGTGTGAAGGTGAATTCCTTTGGTCAGGCTTAGCAGTTTTTATCACTGCCCTGAAGGGGCCCCTGCCCTTTACAGCACTCACATCTGTGCCCCCACATCCCCCTGCTGCTCAGTCCCTTGACCAAGGTTCCTCCCGATGTGAAGTTCCCTCTCCGATGCTTCTTGCCAGTTTCCTAGTCACACGCAGACCAAACCCCATCTTTAGATCCCACGTGTTCCTTTCTAATGCTTCTGTGGAAAACTAAAGGGTACACTTACAATGACTAAAATGTTTATGCATATGGAGTCAGCCCTGAGGAAAGAGCAATTTTCAAGGTTTTAATCGCCCAAGTACCTAATCTCAGGGAAGGTCTGAGCCCAGACTTCTCCCTGCGGCCCTCCTTAGCAGCAGAGCATTTGCTACTGCGGAGCCTTCTTGGCTTTGGAATTTCTGGGGGGAAAGCCCGCCCTGAGCTCGCTCGATCCCTGGGTGCGCTCCTAACTCACTTGTCTATGGGGTTGACCAGAAGCTAAAGACAGCTCAAGACAGGGGATTAATTGCAAGCCACTAGATTTGAAAGGCCCTGGGCTAAGGAAGGGCGGGAATAGGAGAGGAGTCAGAGGCCACACTGTGGGTGCTCTCTTACCGCATGACAAAATCTGCTTCATCTATTTGACGGCCACAGCCACTCATCTTCAGAATCCCACCGTTTCCCACCACCGCACATTTCTTCAATGGCAGCTGGAAGGGAGTTGCCTAGCAACAGAAAACAAGGCGGGTTTTCACTGCAGAGAACATACAAGAGCTCCGAAATCATTATTGACAGCAGACCTGAGGAATTTGAAGGAAGACTCGGCAGGGCAAAAATACTGAGAAGGAGGAACAAACTGGCCTGTTTCTTTGAGCTTTAAAAGGGCGGGAGGGTGAAGCAAAACGACAAAAAGTCCCTGGAATATATTTAAATGTAACAGCGTCATTGTTTTGGGTTTTGTTTTTGTTTTTTTTCCTTCTCAAATTGGCTGAGCATATACCACAGGGTGTTTGCTAGGGAAAACAGAAAAGTCCAAACTAAATACGAGATTGTTTCTAAAGGCCTCAGACAGGAAATAAAGTCCAGTGAATCCTGTTCTCCGTGTGATTGCAATGGCACCCTGACCATTCACTTCCCAACTGTTTCTGGGTATTTCTTAAGTTAACTGCTGGGGACAGCTAGGATACAGAAGTCTGAGGCTTCAAGATTCACAGTGTGGGGTGTGAAGAGAGGAAGGAGTGACCAGTGTGAACTTTGGCCACAAACGAAACTGTACCATAAAGTTGCCAACTTTGCTGAAGAGGAAGCCTCAGCAACCACTAGGCAAAGCCATGAAGGAGTAGGTAGGTACTCAGACAGAGCTTTGTCATTTGAAGAATAAGTAAAGAGCTAAGGAGATGACTCAGTCAGCAAAGTGCTTGTCTAATGAGTGTGAGCTCCTGAGTGTGAGCTCCTGAGTGTGAGCTCCTGAGTGTGAGCCGTACAACTTGTGTGAAAAACCTGAATATGACTGTGTGCGCTCAGAATCCTAGAATGGGGGGCAGGGAGGGGAGGCAGTGAAGACAAGACAAGGAGATTCTGGCGCTCACTGGCCAGCCAGCTGGGCAGAATCATGAGCTCCAGGCTAAGTACAAGACCCTTCCCCAGAAAATAAGATATAAAGCAATTGATAAAGACACACAGTGTTGACCTTTGGCCCTCAGGCATGTACACACACACACACACACACACACACACACACACACACACACACACCTCCCACATAGAAAGAAGAACACTCAGGACCCTGCCAGGCAGAAGTGGCCGTACAAACAAAGGCATCAGTGTTGCTGGAAGGAAAGACACCACTTGTGAGCAGAACACCCTGGGTGGTTCTGTTTAGAACTCAAGAGCCATTAAGGGACAGGTGACTTGTGTCAAACCAGACAGCATGTGACTTTCTTCTGCAAATATCGAGCTAGACTGCAAAGAAAATGTTCTGTGTGCCTGAGTGCTCCCTGGAGTGCTATTTATAGTGCCAGAGAATATGGAAACCCAGTAATGGTCCCTGAAAGTGAAATGAATCATTCGGCCTCTTCTAGCTGGGCCAGCAAGAATTGCCAGGTACCTAGGCTCCTTGGAGATGCTGGAACAGAACAGTCGTTGGAGTTCTTGGGGGAAAGACCTTGAATACACACACAAACTGGTCTAGAAAACAGCCAGATTGATAGGCCTCGCCATTTGCATGGATCATGTGCAAAAAATACAGACTATACCGAAGATAAAATGGAATTAGTTCATGAATATACAGTCGAAGGCCCCTGCCTGGGCATGAAGTAATAACTCAGCCAGGAAAAAAATTCCCAGGAGTCTCTGCTTTCATTGGTAGCTGAAGGAAGCACTTAATCTAACATGAGAAGATTTTATTCCCGTGATTTCTAGTAGTAAAATGAACAGCCAGAGCTATGTAAATATTGGTGATGAATATGTGGTGTTTGAAGTGTAATGTCTAAGCATTTGCCCACAGGGAGAAAAAGAATTGCCTGCATCACCACAGCAGAGATCAGCCCAATAAACTGCTCCAGAGTGAGGTGCGTGCATGAGGGGAGACAGGCAAGGGAGACCAACTTTGTTCAGGACGATGTATATATATTTTTTAGTCATTCCTAAAAAGACATGGAATTAACACTTGAAAAACAGCATTATCCACCATCAGTGAGATGGAGAGTTGGGGACTGATGCGCACGTTGGCTTGCCTGTGTATTCCACAAATGTCTATTGTGACATGTGACTGGTGAAGACAAGTCACAACCCATGCTCCCTGGGTGCTCACACCGTTCTGAGGAAAGCAGAGAAGAGCAAAGGAATGCAGGGGAAATGAGCAGGAGGACAGATGGTGAGGTGGTCTGTGGCGAGAAACCGGGAATCAGCACAAGATGGTCCGGAGATGCTTCCTGACAGGAGCTGCAAAGGTCGGCAGGGTGATCAGCCACAGTGCAGAGGAAGCCCTTGGGCAGATTCCTGTGGCAGTTGAGAGTGTGAGGACTTAGTAGCCTCCACTGGTACAAAGACCTTGAAGAGGGGACATTCCTAGGGGGAGATGGAGGGGCAAGGGCCTCTTTTGTCTGCAGATGAGTCAGCAGGGAGAGAGAAGGAGTAGAGATTGGTAGGAAATAAGTGTGGAGGTTGGTGAATGAGGCCATGTAGGGTGTCATGAAGACAGCAATTTTTGTTCTAAGATGAGAACAAGTCAATGGCAATAGGTGAAGGGGTGCCATTGTGACCTATGCTGGAGTGAGAACAAGATGAACCGAAACTAGACAGGAAAAGGGACTAGGGTGGAGTCTGGTGTGATATTCCTCACCAGGGACTTCAATGACCTGGAACAAGGAGACAAGAGAGGGGAAAGACATCTGATTCTGGAGGGATCTGGAGGAAGTAGCAAATGGACTTGCTGGTGTGCAAAAATAAAGGAAGGAAAGAAAACAGAGAAGAGAGAGGAATGGGGAATGGCGCTAACAGTTTCATCTTTAACCAATGACCAGCTGTTTCCTGAGCTAGAGAGGACCACAGCAGGGAGCGTGTCTGGGGGACTGATTAAGAGCTCAGTCTTGAGAACATCAAGGGTACCATGATCTTCAGATGTCCAAGTGGCCTTGTGTAGTATGTGACTGAATACACAGACAGGGAACTGGTCTGTATGAAGTGAAAAATGGAGAGTGTCTTAGTTAGGAATTCTATTGCTGTGAAGAGACACCATGACCATGGTAACTCTTATAAAGGAAAGCATTTAATTGTGGTGGTGGCTTACAGTTCTGAGGTTTAGTTCATTATCATCATGGTAGGACATGGTGGCACACAGGCAGACATGGTGCTAGAGAAGTAGCTGAGAGTCCTATATCTTGCAGGTAACAGGAAGTGGTCTGTTTCATTGGTGTGTTTCATTGGTGTGGCTTGTGTAGCATGAATCCTAATTGGTCTTAATAATGAAAACCTGGAGCCACACATGAGGGAAAAAGCTGAAAGATCAGAGAAGCAGAGCAGCCAGCCACAAGTTCTTACTACTATGAAATACTCAGCCTGAAAAAGACCGAGCTCCTGTCTCCTTCTGCCTTATATTCCTCTCTCTGCCCAGCCATCTCACTTCCTGTCTCCACCTCCCTAGTGCTGGGATTGAAGGCATGAGATCCCAAGTGCTAAAATCAAAGGTGTGTGCCACCACTGCCTGGGGCTTGACCATATATGAGACCTCAAAGCCCACCTCCACAGTGACACATTTCTTCCAATAAGACTACACCTCCTCCAACAAGGCCACACCTCCTAAAAGTGCTACTCCCTTTGGGGGGCATTGTTGTTGTTTGTTTCTGCTCTGTTTGAGGGTCTGCTATCCAGCTCCCACATAAATCACACATAGAGGCTTATTCTTACTTATGAATGCCCGGCCTTAGCTTGGCTTAGTTTCTTGCCAGCCTTCCTTAACTTAACTTATACCATCTACTTTTTGCCTCTGGGTTTTTCCCATTCTCTTACTTCTGTAAATCTTACTCCATTGATGGTTGTAGCTGGGTGACTGACCCCTGATGTCCTCCTCCTTCTCTGACTACTTCTCTCTCTGAGATTTCTCCCTCTATATATTCTCCCTGACTGCCAGCCCTGCCTATCCTTTCTCTTGCCTTGCTATTGGACAGTTCTTTATTAGACCAACAGGTGTTTTAGACAGGCACAGTAACACAGCTTCACAGAGTTAAACAAATGCAACATAAACAAAAGTAACACACTTTAAAATAATATTCTACCACAGGCCATTTTCTTTCAAACCACCACAGAGAGTGATCGGGTATTTAAAGTCAAGAGCCAGGATGTAGGTGAATAGAAAAGAGACAAGGTCTTAGGGAACCAAGCCACAGGAAAAACACATCAAGTGTTCCTAACAGATGAAGGGTAATAATAGATGAAACCCACCCCTGGACTGGGCAACATGGAGGCCACAGGTGTCCTTGACCAGGAGAGGTTCAGCAGTAAGGATGAAAGTTGACCTGAGTCTACTGAGTTGGATGTATATAAATGTATATCCATTTAGATGTATCCTGGAACATCATATACTAAAAGAAAACATGCAATTAATATGTGAATATACACTATGAGTCTCACATAGTCCTGCTGTAATGATTAAGCTGGGGGGGGGGTGTCCCAGGCATTCTCCACTAATAGTGGGGCTTATAAATGCAAGCCCCAAACCCCTTAGCTATTAAAGAGGAGACCCTGGATACAGAGGGCTGGCTACCCCAGATTTTCAGGCAAGAATCTGGGCTCTGGACAGGTAGACTCTGGTAGCAGCTACATGGACCTGAAGGACCAGGCTATGGGGCAGGGGGCAGATGTCACAAGCCTCCATGCTCTGCTCCTTCCCTCCACAGGGATGTCACACTGTGCAGGACACTGTGGAAGCACTGGCTGATGGACAGAACTCCCTCTGTGCCTCAGAAGAGCAACCCATTCACCTTCCTCTCTGTTTCCACTCCTTGTCTCCTCCCACCAGAGTCATGGATTTGTCTACGCCTTGGCAATTCTAGATTCTAAGGGCTTTCATGGACAAGCAAAGGAGTGATTTGTTTAACTGTCTAACTCTATCTTAACAATAAAGAACCACTTTATTAGGAGAAAAATTAAGTAATATATGTCTACGCCCTTAGCACCACCCTCAAGCAAAATTTGAGGCTCTAGGGAAAAGAAGGGGCTCTGACTT